ATGTGTATACCCATTGGTCGTATTAAGTGGTGGGATTCCCCGTTGCACCTTGCGAAGTCCATTCACATGTTTGTAAAGAAGCATTTTGTTTGAACAGAATCGTTTGGCTAGCTCCTGCTGATGCGTTCTCTTGTCTTCGCGAACCAAAAGCACGCAGTAGTTGCGATGCGAAACGTATTCCGTCCAGTTTTCTGCGCTGGGGTTGCTTTTATACGTGCGCCATGCCCGATCCCTTAGAGTCATGCATTTTCGCGTCCGGCTTCGCAAGAATGATTTCGCTTTGCGGGGATGTTGGGAAACTTTTGGTGTTGAGGCTTCTATGACTAGTGACGTGATGGTGTTCGCAAATGTCTCCCAGGCTAGTTCTGGGGTGCAGTTAGCTAGAAACGTCCAACTGGTATTCTCAACTAAGGCAGACAGAACGTGGAGGTCTTATCGTTGGGCCCTAAGTTCTGTCTCCCTACTAGAAGGGACAATAGATTAGCAATTGTGGCCCAATTTGAAAATCTATACAGACAGACTTCAAAATTGTCTTCGACTTCAGATTCGAAAGTAGAAGAGTTTAAGTCGCTGCTGGTGAATGCATGTTATCAATATCGCCGAGCGCGGATAACCCATAAATCCCCGGTGAGACAGGAACATATTCAGGCGCTACACAATCTAGTCGGGAATGAAGATATTTTGCTCACTCGACCCGATAAAGGTGCGGGAATAGTCGTCTTGAACAAAGCAGACTATCTTCGGAAAATGCATGAAATATTGGCAGATGACACCAAGTTTTCAAAGATAATGGGCGAAAAAGACAAAACAAAGCAGATCGAGAATCAAATCTGCAACAGCCTTAAAAAGCTTCGTGATGGGGCTTCAGTAGTGAAGGTGTCTATGAAAACCTAAGTCCCGTAGGCACCGCGATTCCAAGGTTATACGGTCTACCTAAAACGCATAAACCTAACGTTCCTCTGAGACCGGTTTTGGACATGAAGGACTCTCCGTACCATTCCACTGCACGGTTGCTCGTTGAGCTCTTAGAGCCCGTCCGAAAGCAGGTTTCTGTACACAGCCTAAAGGACAGTTTTGAATTCATAGACCTCGTACGTGATAGAAATGTTACGGACCTAACCATGTGTTCCCTCGACGTTGCTTCACTTTTCACTAACGTGCCACTATTTGAAACTATACGCTACATTTGTGATTATATTGATCAGAACCAGTTAACCATTGGCATTCCTACAGCCGGCCTAAAGGAACTGTTGCTCCGATGCACATTCAATATCCAGTTTTTGTTCAACGGAGAAATATACCGACAACACGATGGTGTTGCTATGGGCTCCCCACTGGGGCCGTTTCTTGCTGACGTGTTTATGGGTATGCTAAAACAGAGCAAGTTAAGATCGGTTATCGAAAGCCTTAGCCTCTACTGCCGTTACGTCGATGACATCTTTATATTGCTACATTCCTCTCGAAACATCAAGGACCTTACTAACACATTTAACCAGGCACATACAGCGCTAAAGTTTACATCTGAAGTGGAGGAGGATAGATCTTTTCATTTCCTCGATGTGAACATGAAGCGACTCGATGATGGTTCCCTACAGCGTGGTGTGTATAGGAAACGTACCTGGAACGGACAATACACGAATTTCTACAGTTTTGTTCCACTTAGATCAAAACGGAACTTGATTTTCAGTTTAACGAGTCCGGCGCAAAGAATTTGCTCGAATGACACATTATCTGAGGAACTACAGCGCATACGCTTAACCCTGAAGGAAAATGGGTACCCGGATGGATTCGTTCAAGCCAACAGGGAGCAAAGGAGGAAATCTGTAACCCTCACAGCCGAAAAGAAACCCATTTTCTACAATTACCGTACAAAGGGGAAATCGTAGCTGAACTTCTAACGTCGTATTACCCGCGCTCTCAGGCACACCTTTCCAGCAGCCAAAATGCAGATTCACTTCACTGGTAGCCCGATGGTGAGAACTAACCCAAAAGACAAAAGGCCTGTCCACGCCAATTCCATGTGTGTTTACTCATTCACCTGTTCTTGTGGTTCAGGGTATATTGGCCTTACGACGAGGCGCTTGTCTGACAGGGTGAGAGAACACCATCCGGCCTGGCTTGCGACTGGGTGCCGAAAGCTAACCAACTCATTCATCGCCACGCATCTTGCCGACACGGACCATTCCCCCAATCTAGCCGAGGCATTTAAGGTCATCTATCGACCACCTGCAAATCGATCAAAGTGCGTTCGAAAGCGCTTACTTGAATCGGCGGAGAGTTTAGCGATCAGACTATACGAGCCGGAATTGTGTGTCCAGAAAAGATTCACTCACACGCTGTGCTTGACTTGGCCCAGACGAACTGCTCCGTCCAAACCAAGGATTTGTGCACGTGATACAACTGTGTCCTAGGGGGCAGTGACTGATAGTGACCAGTGACTATGAACTGAGTGTTTTACCGGTCCTTGTGCTGTGTCTATATTTGGTTTTTTTGCATATAATTGTACAAGCCTGACGAAGAATTATTGAAAACATATGTTCGCTTGGAAGCAATAACATGTCTGCGGTCGCTAAGTCCGGAGAATATTGTAGAATGGACACAAAGGGTGTGGGATGATTTGCTCGATAACTGCGGCTTGATAGCTATGCGTGAGCCTGCCCATTATCATGATGCAAAAACCAAGTCTCGTTTTCCCATAGTTCAGACCTCTTACTGCGCATAGCATCCCTCGCATCGGCTAGAAATTGATGGCATGGTCCTACGCTGATGCTCACTTTGTGCGCAACCCCCCGTAGAGTTAAACGACCATTGCCAAGAACCACAGCAGGAACGCTGTCGACATGGTCATCGCCTGTTGATTTGAAAGGTCTTCTAGGCTTTGGATCGTCACCCACCGACATTCTGCCATGTTCAAAACACATAAACCACTCATAGCAATGCGTGCGAACTTTAGGGTCCTCCAAGTATGCTTGTCTAAGCAACCGAAATATCCCTGTAAAACTTTTGCTAAGTTTGTAGTAAAATTGCACAAACACGCAAATTGTTCTCCTAAGCTCCCGGGCAATAATCCTACGAACAGCATTTGCACGTGCTCACGTCAGCGGCTGTAGCTTCTCACACAATAATCAGAGCAAAAGGCGGCAAATGACATTTTTGTTCTATAAACAAGACTTTTCTTACGCGCAGTGGCCACAGCATACTCCGTCTGCCGGTTGCCATGCTATTTCAGAAGTTCGGTTTCTTTTTAAACAACCTAGTATACTCAGCATGCTTTAGTAGTTTACTTATGAATTGCCACGTGTACTTTGATTCTGCTTTTGTTCTTTGCTTACTTGTCATTTTCAGTGGATGCTCAACTGTGTCTACACTATGATGCTGTACTTTATTCTTTGGGCATCCAACGTGTGCCTTCCGTTTAGGTGGTCGCTTTTCTATCGTTATGTTTTCTAATCCAGTTCTGTTTCTCCATTTAAAGCGCAAACAAGCATAAGTAGCTGTGTAACTTTGCTGTGTACACAACAGTTCTTTGCTCAGCGTCGTTGCTTCCGGACCATTTCCATCACAGTGAATGCTAAGTATTGTATACGGGTGCTACATGCTGAAGGTAAAAGATGTAAACGTTGGTTATTGGCTGTTCAAGAATTACTTTGTACATTAGGTTGCATGCTAAACTGTTTCCGAAGTAGGATGACTGTTTAGTGTTCAAGAAGCAAATGCTTCATAGACAACCATTTGCTGACGTTTGTGCAATTGGATAATGGACTTTTGATGGGAAACCATTGGGAATAGTATTATTCGTAAGCAAATTATAAAACTTATTGGGCAAAGATGTAGCATGAAAGCCCACCGCTGCAAACCTAAGGAAGTTAAATTGTTTGAACAAAACGTCGTCTGAGAATAAGTTAACTAAAACCAAATTTATGCCACAGTGTATTGTACATAGTCTATACACTTGGAGGCCAAAACTTGTCCTCTCGTTAAGCATCATGTAATAAATTTTGACCCAAGGCAGCAAGTTAATAGTTGCTTGCAATGACCAGCGCGGTAAAGCTAGTGATCTGAAGCACACAATTTACTTTCGTCAAATTCCTTTAATAATATGTTAATGTGATGATAGAATAGGATTAAAAAAATGGTTCATTAACATTTGTCTTTCCGGTACTAAGGCCAGTGTAAGTTTTATTTAATGTGCTTGGCTTAATTAGTAAAAAAACTAATGTTACAATTATCCTTAATAAAGTTTTTCGTTGAAGTGGCAAATTAATGTTTGTTTTAAACTGTTGCATTAATTTTGCTGTTCTTTGTCCAAGAATATACAGCTTTGGCCTGCCAACCTTGTTAAATAAGTGTCAAACTTTGGATTATTTCTTGCAGCACCAACTCGTAATTTTGTTATTAAGTAAGGCATCCAAATAAAAGATAAGTTGACGCAGCCAACAAATAAATTATCAAACTGTATTACATAAACACTTTCCTTTCTGACGTTATGGAAAATTTTACAAGGGATCGCGATATTTTGCGGTACATGAGCAGTAGAATAAACGCACTTCTCAGGTGTGAAGTAAAGTGAGTCCGTCCAGATTGAATGCGTGGAATGATATACCAATAAAAACAGAATGTGCGCGGTGCTCAAAATAACGTAAAAACGGCAAATGCGATTAATAAATAAAACAAATAAATGGTACCTAAATTTTGAGTTAAATGTGCTGGAGTTTACAAGTTTGTGTAAATCATCCAAAACGTTCGCGTTTTTAATTTAATAAGTAGATACATGTTGCGTCATAAAGCCCACATAAGTTAGTATTTTATAACGAATTGCCCTACGATTTGTGATATGTGATCAAGCAAACGAATTTTGCTGAGCATATCTAACTAAACGCAAATCATAATAGGATTGGTGCCCCTAATTTTTCCTTGCAATCAGCATAAAATAAGCATTGTTTAAGCTTTTATATTTACTAAAAATAAACTGAGCGAAAGGAAGTTCAAAGAAGACTTACACTGCACTTCCAACCTTGTTAATGCAGGCCGTAATGCGTGTTCCCCATATCCACTATTGGCCGCCCGACATTCGATCAGTTTCCCATGATGCAGCTTGCTTAATCGCGCGGACATTTGACTGACTGCGTCTTTCCTGTGGCCGAACCAAAAAGTCAGACATACTATTGTCGGCAAATAATATTCCCTTGAAACGAACTATAAAGCGTGTTCATGTGTAAATAATGAACGTATCTTGTAGACCAACTAAAAGGGTAGCTTAACCATTTTATCACTCAAGGTGAATAAGTGAAATATGCATGTTAACTATTAAGGGTTTGCCACTCAAAAGTGGAAGTCAATATTTGTCAACAACTAGCATAGTACTTGAGTTGTAAATGACCACTTCTACTGGCACTAAGTGAAATAGCACTTATTAGATTTCAGCCAGTTTTTAAGCTATCCTATAAGTCCTGTTGAGCAAAATGAATCACTTTCGCATGCAAATAGCGCAAACATCTTCAGCTTCGTTTAATATACACAACTCTTTGTTCCAGAGCCTATTTATTATCGTGCAAATATCATTTGTTTTATTTGAGACAACAGAATTCTATAATGATTTTACGAGTATTTAATAGCTAACAAATTTCTGATTATACATACCCAAAACTATACTGAGGTATCTAGCTCATGACACAGAAATCAGGAATGCTTACTACGCATTTTCGCTAACCACAAAGCCTGAAACCGTATTACGTGTAATAAAATTGTCATATCTTAACTCATTTTTATAAATCCTGTATAAAATAATTGAACGGATCTTGCTAGTAATTAACAGCATGCTAAATGTAATGTTAAGCTAGTCAATATTACTCGCTCGAGTTGGCATTACAACGAATTTCCACATGTGACATGCACATGTACCTATCTTTAAACAAGCGAAATATTTTTATTCTGCATAAACATTGCTTTAACAATTTGTGGAGTAGGATCTTAGGGTCAACTGAGGGGGCGTTTTCAAAACGTCTGCATGAAGTACAGCAAACTAGATGATATAATCGGTCGTCAGTGAAGGAGGAAATGTTAAATACTAAGATCAGAAACTGTTCCATTGTAGCCACATTGCTAAAATATAGCGTTTGCATCATATCAAATAGGCAGCAAGAAAACAGGTAGCAACCGAGTAAATAACTAATTACGTGAATATGTAACCGATACACTGACATAAATCACTTATTTACACTTACATATTAAGCGATCGAGAAACGTATATATATGTGAAATCATTAAAATTACAAACTCAGCCACTGTTTGTTAATCGTATTACACTTTTGATTTAAAAGCTGAAGTTGCTTGCAAACGTTTTTCTTAAATTACACGTGTAAAAAGTGCTTTTTTTATTCATTAGTTAAAGAGGCCGCCCAGAACGTACATTAATTTTATACAGCACGTTGTTTAAATGACGGATGAAACCTGAGAATTAAACGTTTGCATGTTGACAAATAGTGAGTTTCTTGATCTGTTCTCAAAACTAAGCTATCAATTGTGTATACGGAGGTCATGTGATGAATTTAATAACAAAAATTATCACGTGCTTATTTATTTTTGAAAATCAGCATACGAGCTCTCATCAAGTAAACCTCTTTTACTGTAGTAACAGCTTTGATTAAACAACAACGGGTTTGCCCTAAATTATGCGGTAACTATTCCAAGCGATAATGTACTTAGTGTGTACTAAGGTACCGCAGCAAATTTCAGAAAATTTCACTTGAGCTTATGTTGTTGGTATATTAAAAAATGTATCAAATAAATATACAAAAAATGAAAATTTAAATACGCACAGTCTGCGTCAATTTTAGAAATAAATCGAACGCATAATAAACAGTATGCTGAATACAATATGCAACTTGCTGAAGTAGTAACATATTTTGTTTCACAAGACAAGCACGTATTCTTGTAAAACGTTTCAAACAACGTAACGCATACAAATCATTATGATTCTAAGGCAGATTAATTATATGTTTAACAAAATATATCTGACTGATTTTAAGTTTAAGCATTAGATGAATTTGAGCCTAATCTGTACAGATATGAAGATATTTAGTTAGTCAAATATTTTACTTATTTATTATCCGTAAACCGAAACATTTAGCAATGCTGCAATCATTTATATGGTTACAAATCTAAACTGTTACATTAACTTGTTTGTGTATTGAAGCAGTAGTAGCATTGTTGATACTTAAGCACATGTTAATAATATAACTAAAAACTAAAATTTAATTTTAGCATGGCTTATATTTTCGCTTTGATTTCTCAAATTTTTAACTGCATGCCTGTTTAGTTTTAGCACTTGCAGAGCAATAAACATAAAATTTTCATACGATTTTGCTGTCCTTTTAAACGCCCACTAAACAAAGGTGTTATCCTAATCTGAAAAATGTTTCTTGCAAAAGTAAATCATGGCAAAAATATAAGTGTACGAGTCATCAATTGTATTTTAAAAACCATTTAAACAGTTTTAGTAATTGAAAATTCGGTAGTTGTCTTTACAAGCGATTAAATAATTCCGCCTAACTGACTTCTTTAGTTAAACTCATGAGGCAAATGCATGACAACGATTGCAATGTATTGTGATAAATATAACCAACGGTATTGCAGTTCATGATTTTTAACATTATTAGCTGCAATGGCTGTTTACTCGATTCTATTGAAGTAATTTAGAATAAAAACTAGCTACTTCTTATACATGTACGCAAATAATGGAACAGCAAAGGAAGGCCTCGGTGGTGAGTGCAATTATTTTAACCTGCATTATCGAAAATTGTAACATAACGTTTTGTTCTGTTCGAACATTTGACAATGTGGCATCAAGTTAATTTAGTCTTTGTATGATTTTTTGAGCCATTTTTTCCGTGTCATTGCTATTGCTATTGACATGCGTCAAACTAAATTAGATAATTTCATTTTAATTAACATACAGTTCGCATCTTTTTACTTACTTACGATTTGTTGGTTTTACATGGTTTATTTAGTTCTAGTTTGCACACATGTTTAATGATATTAAATGACCCATAAGCACCGGAATATATGGGGATTTGTCTCTTATTGAGTAATGTTAAACATTAGTAGTTAGTACAAATAATGCTTGTGCAATTTTATTGCATGCCCGTAGTTACTCCTTTTTTGGTAAATGCTAAATTTCTCTTTTCAGTATCACAAACATTTTCATCAGCTGCATTGATGACAAGATTTTGAAATACTCAGCCGCACTTGATTTAATTAATCATTTTCTAGCAGAACAATTTTATACGTATAAGATGAAACCGCTCCGTAAGTAAAAATGGCAGAAACTGCAAGTATTGGAAGGAGGGTTAATCCGGTGTTTGAAGAACACAAGTTACATTAAAATAGTTAATAAATGACAGATAAGCAACCTAATTATTTATATATTTTTGAGTTTGAACACTATTAAATTATGATATAATTTAGCACATTATATTTATTATACTGTCTAATATCAATTATTCTATCCACTTACAGTCTTGGGAAGTTCGCGGATGGCACGACATCAAATGTCAAGTTTCCCCTGAAACCGGCACGGAATGTGCTCAATTTTCCACTTTGGTCTGGATCGGGTTGAACTGGAACGCCATCGATTGACCAGGATAATCGGGCACCAGGTTTTCCGTGTCGAGCCACACATTTTAGCACCAGCAACGATCCGTCTTCAACAATTACCGGCGTCGAGGAGCCTACTTCAACCTCCGCTCCTTTTCCTTCTTTGGTTACTTGGAGGAACCGTGGGGCCTCAGAAGGAACTGCAGTGTTTAGATTTTATTCGGCAGGAAAACCGATCAAACATACCGGTCACACCAAGTAAAATAGAGTATTAATGAAAAAATATCTTGAGAAATGTTACGCAATGAACGCTGAGGTATTAAATCCTCGACAAGTTTTGGCAGAATTTTTTATCATATTAAATGCACTGCTAATATTTAGTGGCCGATTTTGGCGACAAAATGTTAAATTTAAAGGGAAGCTTGTTCAGGTTATCATCTAGAGAAGCTTAACGGGAACAATACTGTTACTGTGAAACCTAAATATGCCAGTTTTCTTTACAGTGCCTCCACAGTAAAAAGCGGTTCTATTACCGGTGTTTTCATATAAATTTTGTAGCCGTCTTACTAATTGCAATTGCATTGTAAAGGTACTTCAGATTCCGTTCAGTTAAAAAAATTAATGAAAAAACCGTAATGAGGAGAACAAATGGGATTAAGCTCTAAATTGTTACTTAATAGAAATTACATAGCTAGTATGGAATATGCTAATAATATTTCAACTTCAAATAACCTTACAATCTCTCAGGTAACATTTGATTAACCATTAGCGGGCAAATAATAGCACAAGGTTATTGGTGTTGCTTAGAATAGGTCTATACGTCCTAATTTACATGCTTCTGTGTAATGCTGCATGTTTTATACCAGTTTAAGACATGTTGCTAAAAATTATTTGCTGTTATAGAGAGATTGAATCATACCAATGGCAGCAATTGCAACAAAAGCTTAAGTTTGTTATGTGGTGCTTAGGTTTAACGTGGTGCTAGGCCGTACTTGACAGACTGGTCAAAACGACAAAGAATTACGAACTGAAAATTTGTTTTCTTATATTTGATTAAATATCTGTGGATCTTAAGCAATAATAAATGCGTTAAACAATCGCTATGTCTCAGTAATGTGAGGCTGGAGCAATAAGGTATAAAAATAACCAGCTTCTTTTAGAATTCTGTGGGAAGCAATGAATGGAAAGAGTCGAATGATTCTGTTTCGTTGAATATTTTAAGTCAGGCCCCACTGGTAAGTTAATACCTGTTATTCTAGTTACGCAAGCGTCAAGAAATATCTGGCTGATAACATTTCATGTAATTACATGCCGTGTAAGGAGCGACATCACACGTTTTATCCAGCATATGAATGAAGAATCGGTGGTAAAAATGTTTGTGGTATTTTGACACGCTACAGCAAATTTGTATAATTTAATTTAGTATCTCTGAACGATGTTTATTCTTGATAATATTACGCTACTAGAAGGGTAGTAATTTTAGTATTTTAAAAGGTTGGTTCTGTTGTAGGGAATAATTTACACTATTTGTCTTAGCTGAAATTACAACATTATCTTGTGCAATCACTGATCCTTGTTGTTGGCTTAGCTCAAATTTGTTTTGCAGTATATGAGTAAAATTGCGTGCACAAAAGACAAAACTCTGTTATTACAAACCTTGTACGCTGAGCACAGCCGTCTGGCTCAAGTATTGTTTTTTCATAAAGTTCACTTGACATACGTAAGATCCCTCGTCGGACAATTCCACATTCGTGATCTGTAAGTCGTACTGTCCTAAAATAGTATTAACGGTAAAAAGAGAACTGGCGTGAAACCAAGCATGCAAACTGCTGGCGATACTGCCGCAACGAAAGTGCGACGAATTTACGACTAACTGAGGATATATGCGCATGCCGATAAACGCAAAAGAAATTGAGGTATAGCCCGTATAATGAATTGGAACACACCAGGTATATCATAGTCGGAAACCTGGCTACATTTGATATCTTCCGTATGGTTACCGCTTCACTTAAATTTGGTTCATTTTCCACTATTTTAGTTTGTGTTGATAAAGTCCTTAAATCAGTTATATGAAGAAAGTTATATTGTAGCTATTTACACCGTTTCATCTTAAATGAATGCCATCGAAACAACACAAGGGTACAAATAATAGATGAGCCATCATAATTAATCATACCTTCTTTCAAATTGTAGGGGAGGTCGTATCGTGAGTACGGGTATCTCGCACTTCTGCCGTACTCTTGGATGTCCTCTCTACTTCCGCCTATTCCAAAATCATTTTTGGACCAGTAGACTTGAGCTCCAGTTCCAGTATTCAAATCAGTAAGGACTCTGACACGACATTGTAGTCTAACGGTACTGTTCAATGTAACCGATTGACTCTCCGGATGCAACTGAATAATAGCGTCAGCGCTTGGATAGTTGAACGAAGAGGACGGCGAGTAAACATTTCGTGTGGCACTGGCAGGAATGTAGATATCTTGGGTGTAATAGAAAAGAAACGGAAAAAGGGAATATTAATTTTACGTAGTAGTTTAGCCAGTAACATGTTGAAATTAAGTGACATCAATGAGCTTAAGTGACTGCATTACTTAAAGGATCAGAAGTGTTATTTAGTGCGTTTTGCCATCATTCGTTTTGTGATTATATCATTTACCTTATCGAAAGTAAAACGTTATATTATTTATCTAATCAATTACTTCCTACAAGCCAAATGTTTGCTATTTTTATATTTACAGGAGCAAAAGACTTACTGACAATTTTGAAACTTTAAGCAATCTTTGGATACCTTGAAATACTTCGACCAAATTCATGTGTATGACTGGGAAGGCAAACCAGTATGCCTAACCGATAATGCTACATTTGACATCGCACTTTTGGACACTTAGTCTAAGTGTCACGCAGATGTCAAACTGACTTAATGTTTTGACAGCTATGCAACTAATTTTTGAAAGCAGAACGGCGCTAAGTCAAGTTTGAACAGCTTTTAGATACTTTATGCTGAAAATATACATATAGTTTGTGCATGTAATATGCAATGGAAACTTTGTAAAAGAGAATCACTAGCATGGATCTGTACTTCGAAATATGACGTAATTAGTTTGCTTACTTTTCATATTCTGTATTACACAATGCATCTGAGCTCAGCTTGATAAAAAACCCATATTGCATTTTCAGGGATAACAGACATACACTGCTCATATTTTCGTGCGACATATAAAGAATGTGGTTACTGAAGGATTATGACAAAGCTTTATTAATTTTCGTTTGACTTGCGGCAAAATTAATCTCTGGGTGGCTATTTTACTAATATGGTAGCCGCAAAATTTCATTGTTTTGATATCCGCTATTTTGTTTTTATGTCTATGGAACTGCAATTGCAAAGAGTTACTTTTTAGAAAAGTTAGTAAAATCTATGTAAGTGTCCATTGTTGATAGGACTATTGCATCCACCTTTCGTATATGTTCAACATATCAAAAACGACGTTATTCTTTGAAACTGCAGGACTTTACATGTACACCATAAACTAGTTCAGTATTATGCTTATCCATTAAATATTTGTAGACACGAAAACTATCTACTTTTTGTCACCTATACTATACCATTTGTCGTCACTTGACCCATTTTCATTCAAGATACTTTTTAAAATTGTGAAGTGAAGTGCACCGTCTGCTGATAAACGTTAGAGACTTAAAAAGCTTCCATCCACTCATGACCTTAAAACTTTTCATAAAATCAGGATATCTACTTTCAAGCTTTAATGCTTAAGGTGCTTTCAGCAACTATTAATTTATTATTTTTCTGCCTTGGATGCAGCATAATCTGCTGTCAAATTTCTTATGCTATTTTAGATAGACTGTATCTTATGAATACCATCCATAAAGCACATTTCAATATACACAGATGGTATTAAAATATGTTTGCTTATTATATTCTGTTATAGACATTATTATGCTTAGTATATTATTGTTAAATATACTAAGTGACTGATTCAATCTAATGGACAGAGACATAAAAACTGTCTTATCTATTTGCCTGTACAAACTTTAGAAGGTTAATCTTGTGCACCTCACCATATCATAATACTGTATTTCCTTCTCTGTTACGTTTGATGGTTAGACTTACACTAATCATAAGCATGCTGCGTGAGCTTTTCTTGGAGGGTCAGTAGTGCTCGTGTTCCGTTTTCCTCTGATCTATATATATTATAAAATGTCTAATTCAGTATAATGGCAGCCGTAGTCTAATGGCTGCAAATTTACTCATTAGGTCTTCTAAAGCCTATTTTGACTTATTTCTCACAAGAAAATTTGTAGAACGCTATATAATGTTCGATTTACCTCGCAAGCAATGCTGGAGTAAACTTTTACCTTCCATGTAACAATAGCACATGTTAATGCTAAACAAACTGAATAAGACCATGTAACGTGATAAATTGTAAGTGAAACCTGTTCCATAATGGCTTTGAAGAAATAAATGTTGAAAGGGAAAATACTGATCTGTAACGACCAGTGACAAACGCAGTATATGTGGGGAATTATAAAGTTATCTTAGCGGGTTATTCACACCTTCTTTCTGTATAGTTTTTGTGACGTTACGCAATCCGTCTTGGTCTAATAACACGTCCTAATTTTTTGGAAGAGCAATCTCGTGCTTTACATCATGATACTTGTAATCTCACCTTTTTTACCGCACCAACGTGAATTTAAACCCGAGCAACTTAACCACAATGTTTGCGCGAGACGTCTTGTGGTGCGTAATTAAAATTGGGTTAAATTCATGTTAACAGTTTGATTTACCTCAATGTTTTTAGTAGTGATTGCTTTAAGCAATTATGCAAATATTTATTTCAGTTGTGTCATTTAAAAAATAACATCTTGTTTCAAAAAGTTCACCTGAATGCAGATGATGTGGTACATAGCTTGAGAATCCGAACTACCAAAGTGGATGCTTAATAGTAGTGGGGAAAATTCTTTTAGGTAACATGAATGTATGTATGTAAGCTCAAGTCTAGCAACTAGACTTAGAGCCAACGAATACATAAATATTAACTGATAAGGTAGGTCACTGCGTCATAATAATCGTGGTATAGTGGTATTTGAAGTTGAGTAACCCACTTCAACTATTATGCCACAGAAAGAACGGACAAAAGCAGCACAAACCGTTTTTATTTTGTTTTTCATACGCTGATTTCTCTTTTTCTGTCATTATTACTGTTAGAAGTAATATAAATGTGAATTAATACAACTTTGTACACAATTCTGCCATTGATTCCGGTTACGGACCATGTCTGCAAAAGTATTAAGTCATTGACACTCCTCATCATTTGGTCCCCATCCTGGAAGACGTGCGGGTACAACAACGGCTAGACACGACGTCAACGACTTCATGTGCTGCCGCCATGCAGAAGCCTGACCACCACGCGGTCGCCTCCAGCCAGGTCCTTGACGAGCGAATAGAGTGCAACGCGGTAGACGCTCAGGTGCCATGTGTAGGACGTGACCGATCCATCTGAACCTGCGCAACAAAACCAGCGATACACGCATTCTACAAAATACGACGAAAGTCATTACTGTTAAATCGATGTTGCCTCCAAACACGAGCAATCCATTTTAAGCGACCGTTATCGAAGGCAGAAAGACGACGCATGTTTTCCACGCAAATCGGCTTGGATTCGCTTCCATACAACAACACTGTGGGAACAGATGCGCTATAAACACGGCACTTTAATGAAAATGAGACCGCGACGACGCCACAAGTGACTCAGATTTGCAAATACTAATCGAGCTTTGGTGATATGAAGAGAAATAACTTTCTGATGGTGACGTCAGCAAGAACACAGCTTCCCATGTAAACGAACAATCTACCTGTTCATGTGTGCTTATTCGAGAGTGAGCACGGAAATATGTGCAAGCCAATCCTTGAGCAGTACTTTACATCTCCATGGGACGATGCTCGTGCCATACGTGTATGTTTTAACCGCTAAGCGATTCAGAATGAGTTGCGTACCATGAAGATCGCCACCAAGTAAGACAATATCACCATCAGAAACTAACTCGGTCGCGATCACTCGGTAGAAGCTCTAGGCCAACATGTTGTAAACCTTCTAAGGCACCCGACAGAACGTCGTCGATTGTGCAGTTGAAGTTGAATGGGGACATTAGCGAGCCCTGTCGCACACCGCTACTGGCAGCGAATGGCTAGGAAAGCTTGCCATAAACCATCACACTGCCTGAGGCATGAAGTGCTCGTAAGATGGCGGTATATTTCTCTGGCACCCCGTTTGTTAGAAAGCACCGCCAGAAAGCAGGTCAAGCAAAGAATTCAAAAGCGGCATCATTGTCTTGGAATTCAACGATAGTGGACCTGTGCTAAATGTGACGCTGTTCGTGCATTTAACGAGGCGTGAGGGTTTGATCCAGGCACTTGCGGCCTGGACGGAAAGTAGCTTGTTCTTCACGGTAGGATGATCCACGCACTAGGGAGGGTCTACTGAGCAGAATGGATGCCGATAGCTTGGAGGCAACCGAAATAAGACTAATGCCGCGATGATTTACACATAAAGTGCCAGCGCCTAGTCTAAAAATCGGGACAATAACTGAATCGCTCCAACAGGAAGGCATTTCTCTTCATACCAGATTTTTGCGAACAGTGAGGTAAGCTGGTTACTGATTGCCACACCGCTGTACTTGAACAGCTCCAGAGGAAGTCCGTTTGAGCTGGCAGCCTTAAACTGCTCCAAGCGTCGAAACTTGAGGCAGACTACCGCCTTGCTGTGTGGATTCAGTAGGACGACCCAGGGTGGACAACTAGATGTACTTCATGTACTGATTGACGGTGGAGGCCAGTTGAACTGTGAGAAACGATGCTCGGCCCAGCGGTCCAAACTTCTCGGTTGGTTGGTGATCGGCGATTCATTCATTTCGCAAATATCCTCACTGATACCAGGCTTTCTGAGGCCAGTGGGACGAATGAGTTGAAAAAGCTTACGAGTGTTGCCAGAGAGGGCACCGACCTTCATCTCTAAAGCACGCTCAGACCACCATGCATCGCTATCCTTGCGTAGGCTTTGCTTGAGCAGCCGGTTTACGGAACGGCGCCGCTCGTTGCAATCTGATTTCGCCGGGATATCTTTGCTACGTTTGAACAGCTCCACAGAACGAACAGAGATCGAAGCATTTAAGGGGCTTCGAGTTAGGCCGCAGCTGCCTTGTCCGAAAATGGTCATCGCTTTCTGTATACAAGTGCAGTGTTGCTCCACGTTTAGCGGTGGGTTGCAGCTGAGAGTTTATGCCAGTGAAGACTGATAGCTAGCTTGGACAGAGGAATCAGTTAATCTGTTTATATCAATCTTGTGGTGCTTCGTGTTTCGGGACCTTCTAAAACATATGCAGATTTTTGCGCAAATACCGCATTATCTGAAATAACGTAGGTGCACTAAAGGGAACTGCAGTCCAGTACGCTGCCACGCCATCAGA